ATATATATATATATATATATATATATATATAAAGCAAATGAGTTTTTTAAAAAATGTACAAAACAATTAGTAAAAGGTTATGGAATTATTCAACAAATTTTTTATCTTTCACAGTAAGTATATCATCATCTATTTCAGCGTTTACCTTAAACGTATTTATATACTAAGACTATAAATTTATAATGTTACAATCTCATAAAAGGACTTTATCAATATCTTTTCCTTAAAATAAAAAATTTGGTGTTAAAGTAGAAAACATATAATTTTATATTTCTATTAACTTAAAAGGAGATGTTAGAAGAGAAAGTGTGTATTTTTTTTTTTTATGAAAATACAACAATAAAAGAGCACGTTAAGAAGGTGATGAAGATTGGGCTTTGGCACTCTGCCATCTCCCAAACCAACTAAGCCAAACAAAACCCTTTTTTCTTCTAACCTCAATACACTTTCTTGAACACAATCGCCATGGAAGACGATGATGACTTCGGTGGTTTATACACCGATCTTCCTCAGCCCTTCGCTCCTTCCTCTCCTTCTCCTCCTAAAGCTCAACCCATTCACAGCCAGCAATCACCTCAACAATCTCCGCGCCACGCGGAACACGTAATCGCTGATTCCAACGTCACCGCTGAACCTTCCGTTGATTTGATTGACAGTGACGTCAAATTCGACATCGAGGATGAGGAAATCGACGACGAGCCACTCATTCCGGGACTAACAGGAGACGCCGTAGAAGCTTCCAGAAGAATCGGCGAAGGTGATGATTGGGAAGACAGCGATGATAGCGAGGATGACCTGCAGATTGTGTTGGACGGTGGCCTTGGCCTTCCTGATGTCCGCGATGACGGTGGCCTCGAGGTTGAGGCTGCAGCTGACTACACTGAGGAGCGCGATTGGGGCGAGAATTCCACTCAACCGCTTGATGGTGAGAAGAAGGAAGCGGGAGAGTCGGTGAGAGTACTTGCGCCGAAAATTGGGTACAGCAATCAGGGTTATCATCATCCTTTTCATTCTCAGTTTAAGGTCAGTGTCGTTGTAATTGTACATTTAAGAATAGTAATAAATAAAGTTTGATGATCCAATTTAGCTGGTTTTGTGTCTCTTTTGTGCTTCCTTGTTGTGAATAGCTGAAAAAAGAAAAAAAAGCTTAAAAGGCAGTGAAATAGAAAGAAGCCAATGCAAAAAGATTTTGTAATATTTTTTATGTTATTATTAATATTATTACATCGTGACTTGCACAGTTACACCAATGAAAAAAATTTAGTTGAAATTATTTTTTTGTTATCCTTTTCTTTTTGTACATTAGCCGAGCCTTGGATTCAAGGAGCCTTGGATTCAAGGACCAACCGAGTATGGATGTTAGTTGACACATGCGGATTACAGAACATCAGAACATATATCGAGCATGACATCGTCATATGGGCGATGTTCTGTATGGTATCTGAATAACTTGTACCTTGGCAACCTTGTTTTTTTGTTAAATGTGAATGAAAAGGACAAATAATTATGGTACTGGTTTATGGGAAAAAAATAAAATAAGATGGAAGGATGTAATAAGTCTCTCTCATAAACTAAAATTAGTTTATTCCCAAGTTCATATACAAAAACTATGCAGAATCTCACTCATGTATCATGGTTGAGTCGCTGTTATTTCCTAATCAGCTGCTACGGGAAAATGAATCACAATGAGAGTGTTTTCTCCATTTTGTTAATTCAGTTCCTTTGCGTTTGGTGAATCTTGAAGTATAACTGTTAATATCCCTTCTCGCTAGTGTATCAAGCTTTCTAAGCTGATTACTCTAAATATTAAACCATGTTGACATTAATTATTTTTACCGGTTTCCATATTTAACTTTAATCAACTTATCAAATAAATGTTCCTTTCCAAGGTGGTGCAGACTACAGAACAGTTTCACTGAATTTTGGGTTTTTTTTTTCCTTTTTTACTTTCTGGGGAATGGAACTGCTTGATCTTTGCATCTTTGTTTGTTGCTTGAATTGAGACGAAGACATCACCAACAAAAGTTTTACCATATTCTTTGAGATGTTATTTACCATAGAATTCCTTTTCTCCACTACTTTCAATGTTTTCCTCGTTATCTTTTTATCTTTTTTCACAAAACTAAAAGTATGCAATCTACTCTTCTTACTAATGTTTATAGTTGCCTTTTTTTCACATGTCCAAACCACACTGCACGGCAGTGAAGCATGACTAAAACTGGCAGCCATACTTCAATGATTCTGAGTCTGAGATCTAACTAATAACTCACAAATGTAAAAATCATGCACAAGCCTTCACTTGGCATAATAAGCTCCTAGAATATTTTTGTTCTAGACATTGGCTCTGTGTTATATTTTTTTTTATAAACAGTAAAAGAAGAAAATGAGAAGGAAAAATGAATTAAATTTATTTTAAAATGCAATTACATTTTTGCCTTTTAATAGAAACTGTTTTGTCTAACTTATAAGTTGATTTTAGATTATAGAAAAATAACTCAATTCATTTTACCTTTTCATTTTCTTTGCTATAAAATTTTGTAGAGAAATTTATTTAAATAGGACTACAGTGTTATAGTTTTTATGAGCTTTGACCTACTGGCCCCATCATTCTAAATAATTTCAGCACAAGTAATCATAGCATAAAAAAATTAGTAAAAGAACACGGAAAATGTACTTTCAATTATGTGGGATGTTCATGCTGCTCAGCCTGCGTCACCTTTTAAAAATTGTGTATTATATAAAATTGAGGTAATTTTTTCAATAGCAATTGGTTATAATTTGCTGTTGCCTTAAAGAGTCATTCATGACATGTATATTAAATCCAGTTTGAGATGCTGCAGACACAGGTAATTAGCTGAATTCTGTTTTCAGAATTCCAGAACCATATTCTTTGACACACTCTTATGCCTTCATTTAGTATTGTTGGCCGAATTTTATGTGGGTCTCACTTCAATAAGTCTACATTATTTGCAATTATGAAATTAATTTACCTGATTTATATGGCTTGTTTCTTCCAAGAAACCTTTAAATACATTAGAACGGAAAAAAATTCACCGAAAGGTTTATGAGCTCAAACTATATTGGTTATTAATTATATTTGGGTGAGCATTTACCAATTTGTTTTAGATGAACTTGATTTTGTTATATGAGTGTCAACCCAAGTGGTTTATGTGCTGTAATTTTTATCCAAAAAGTGAGCTTGTGAGAGAATTTGGTATAAAATTCCTATCCCACTGCAAAAGTTAAAAATTTTCATTGCTGGTTGGAAGCAGAATTGCATTATGATGCTTCAAATGTGAGTTGGGGGCTCTCCTAGCACATTCTAGTGGGGTCTTGTGATCAATTGTTTGTTTCTATAATTTATGTGTTTCTATGCATGTTGAACCTACAGAACTTGTGTCTCCATAGATTCTATCAGTAATTATGCTTTCTAAATTTGGCTGGTTGTTGTACTTCCTCTCTGCAGGTTCATTGATTAATTTTTATCTTAAAAGTAATCTTTTATGGAAGAGAAGAAACTATCTTCTGTTCCATTCATCAGACAGTTAGATATTTCATTTACTCTAGACTCGTATAATTGTTTCCTTCGTTTTAAGTATATAAATATGTGAACTATGGATTATGAAATGGAAAGTAATTAAGTATCTAATGATTAGCATTTTTCACTTTTGTTTTAATTGTAATGTAGTATGTCAGGCCAGGTGCAGCATCCATCCCTGCAGCAACTAGTTCTACTCCAGGAGGTCCTCTTGGTCAGATTCGTCCACAAGCTAACATGAATCCTTTGGCCGGTCATGGCAGAGGGGATTGGAGACCAGCTGTAATAAAAGGTGCTGCAGCCATGCAAAAAGGTTTTCAAGCAGGTTCTGGATTACCTATGCGGGGACACAGTGCAGGAGGACGGGGCTTTGGTGGTGGATTGGAATTTGTGCTTCCTTCTCAAAAGTAAAATTTAATTGACAATTTTATTTGTCTCTAGCTGTGTTAAGACAACAAAGGAAGTGATTGATGTCAACTGCTAACTAGAAATTCTTTTTGTTAAGCATCTGAGTTGCATTGCATTTAGGGGAGAAGTGTTTGGAATATGAAATATGCGGTTTCTGAGTGGAAAGAGGCTAATAATATTTTTTTTTGTTTTCCTTTTGATCTATAAAAGCTTTTTGGTAATTTTGATTTGAAGTATAAAGTGTAGATAAGGTTAGTAAACGAGCTTTATATTGCATAAGTTGTTAGATCAATATGTTAACCAAGGTCATCATTATTCATTTTTCTCGGAATGACGTTTTTGTAGGGCAAATCTACTTAATCGTTTACACCTCCATTTTATCGCCCCCTACGTCCTCCATTTTATTACTACTATACTGATTTATCTCCCAGTGATTTCTTTTTTAACCTGCCACTTTTTCTTTTCAGGACAATATTTGATGTTGATATTGATAGTTTTGAGGAGAAACCATGGAAATATCCTGGTGTTGATGTATCAGAATTTTTCAACTTCGGTTTGAATGATAATACCTGGAAAGATTATTGCAAACAACTGGTAATTTTTTTGCTTATATTCTTTTCCAGTAGAAATTTAGTGTAGACTGAGAAAATCATTTTTTGACTTTCTTCTAGGAACAACTACGGCTGGAGTCTACCATGCAAAGCAAGATCCATGTTTATGAGAGGGGTCGAACAGAGCAGGTAATGATGTTAATGTTGGCTAGGAACAGTTCCTTATCACATATTTCTGGAGTTCTTTTGGTCCAGTGCTTATTTAAAATAAATTAAATCATCAACTTGATTTCATTCCAGGACTATGATCCAGATTTGCCCCCTGAATTAGCTGCAGCTTCTGGTATACATGATGTTCCTGTTAATAATGGTAATTATGTAAAGTCAGATGTTGGACAAAATGATCTAATAAAAGGTTCTGGACCTATGCGACCACCAATTGTATGTATTTCTACCATTCATTGAACTCCTCTATTTCGTTATGGCCATATACTTTTTTTTTCTGGCGTATGGCCTGCTTGTGTCTGGTTATTATAGTACAAAATATTTGTAGAAGTTTCTGCTTTTCTTATTGATTCTCTTGCTAGGAGTTATTAATGTTATTCATTTTTTCAGCCAACTGGGAGAGCAATACAGGTGGAAAGTGGTTCTGGTGATCGTCTTCCTTCCATTGACACCCGACCTCCTCGAATCCGTGATTCGGATGCTATCATTGAGGTTTTTGAGCTATTGTCATTAACAATGTGTCGTAATTAGATTTGCTTTTATTGTTGCATCCTGCATGTGCAATGTTGTTGTTACTCACCATATTTTTATGAACAGATTGTTTTACAGGATCCAGCAGATGATGTTTCCAATGCAAAAATTGATGATCAAGATCAACAAGAGGGTGATGAGCCCCAGAAAAAGGATTTTACTGATGACCATGTATCTGGATATGAAATTCCAAGGTTAGAGTCCAAGTATTTTAATGGTCAAAAGGGAGAGCTGATTGGAAGAAGAATGCTCAATATGAAAGCCAGTCCTACTAGCATACCCATAGAAGATGAACATTTGCCCTTCCCCCAGGAAAAGACAAATGACTACTCTGATTCTAGGTACCAAACTCCTGACTCCTATTATGTTCTTTACATAGGATAGATATAGATAATTCAGCCAATCCAGGTTAAATTTAAAACCATTCTTAATCCATTCCACTTTGATCCTATTTATGCGAAGTTTGTGTATGATGCATTGTGAACTTGGGCGGCATGAGATAGGACCCAAAAATGATAATTCAGATCCGTAAAGAATTGCCTAAAGACACAATCAGTAGCAAATACTATTAGTTCTGGCCAGATTGGTCAATGTCGGCTTCTTATTCTTTCTCACATAAGCATTCCATATCCTATGAAAACATTGAATGCAACATAATGAAACATATCCAACTCCTAGAGAAAAAAGAAGGCTGAATCTAAGATCAAGGTCTTGCAACCACTCAATGTAGAAAATAATTTGGTTAAAAAAATATATTTGTCAAATTTATATTTAAAATGAAAAAGAAAAGGATTGTCCAACAACTTAGATGCTTGCAAACCTTACAGGAAGGGATGGTTTTTCAAGTTTAGGTGTGTTGGCGTGTTAGTAAAAACTTTCATTTTTAAGGACAACAACTTATTTTGTTATTCTTTGCATGTCCTGGTGGTTTTTGATGAGTGCTCATTTATTTTAATCTGCAATTCATTAACAATTTGTTTTCTATTTGCAGGAAAATGCAAGGAAGTGCATGTGATGATCAGTCTCCCCGTTTTACTTGTAGTCGAGAAGTGACAATTGTTGACAATAAAAAAGAAGGGTCGGTTGAAAGCATGGAAGCTAGACATAGTGCACACTTGTCATTTCCTGTCGTTGAGGATGTGAAGGAATCCAGCATTGAAAACAATCAGCTTGAGAAAGCTCGGACAACTGATAGAACTTCCAGGTTGGAAAAGGGAGATAGAGACTTAAATGCAGTGGACAACAGAGATGTCATTAAGGATGGGGTAGCAGAGAGACAGAAAATAACATCTCAAGTTGAGCAACCTTTGCTTGGGGATGGAAGTGATTGTGAGGACTCAAAATCTGTAAGAAGTAGTGATAACAGCAAAGCAATATCAGAAAGCAGCAGGGATTATCATAAGCAATGGGATGGTTTTGAAGTACGTCAGGATCCTCATGATGTTCATCTGGGTAGCATTAGAATGCAATCTCATGATAATGAGCAGGTATTCCATAGAAGAGAGCAAGATGGGGGCAAAAAAACAGAGACAAACGGTATGGTGATTAGAAGTAGAGAGAATTCATACTCTCACAAGGACCGACACCCTAGCTCGGCACATCAATCACACATAAAGATTGATGGCTTTGAAAGTCAAAGAGATAGGGTTAGCTATGACATGGATTGGGAACGTAGAAATGATGATCTCTATGGAAAAAGGGTTAAACATGATGAGCCAAGAAAGAGGGATAAGGGTAGGGTTCGTGAAAAGGAGAGAAGCGACAATGATGATTCCTTTCGATCAAGAAAACAGTTGGATAATGGTACCTACAGGGTTCCATATGACAAGGACGTCAGGTCAAGAGTCTCAAGACACAAAGAAAGAGATGATAGCTTGAAAGATAAGCATGAAGCTTTGGAGGATTTCCGTAACAAGAGGAGGAAGAATGAGGAATATCTTAGGAGGGAGCATGTAGCCAAAGAAGTTGTGCGTGGGTATAGAGAAAATGTCAATCGGCACAAGCCAGAAAAGGATTCAGTATTGGATCCACGGAAGAGAGATGAGCATCAAAGAAGTAGAGTTGACCTTGATGTTCAATATGCTGCCAGACAAAAAAACGAGGCCTGGCTACTGAGGGAGAGGGGTAATAGGAAGAGAGATAGAGAGGAGTGGCATCAGGTGAAACAGTCTCGCGAAGAACATCCATTCAAGCGTGAAAGAGGAGGTCGAGATTCTGTAAGAAGTGGACGAGAAGCTGAAGAAAAGATATTGGCTGGCCTTGTTAGGGCTAAGGATGAACATAAAGTTTCGGAGAAAGAATACCAACATAGAGAAGCAATGCGACACAGTGACCAATTGAAAACAACGGATCGAGTTAAGGGTGAAAGCCCACACCGTAAGGGGCATGACGATGCTAATGTCCGTGGAAATCAATACAACAGTGAGGAAAGGCGATCCAGGGAGGACAAATCAAGTAATCGAGGTTATTGTGCCACTAATTCTTTAGATACTCAAAGAGTTCACGAGAGAAAGCGTGATGACGACTCTAGGAAAAGCAAAGAACCCATTGTTGGTAGTTTAGGCACGTCCAACAAAAGTCCAGAAGCTCAAAGTGGTCAGACCAATTTCAAGGTATACTTGATGCTTATATATTTTAAATGTGAGATTTATCTGGAAATTATCCATCTCTACGTGTGACTTGTAGGAGAATGGGTCTATAATAATGGGTAAAATTAGTGCCTAACCATAGAAAACAGGCTTGGCATCGGGTATCTAATTTCATTCACATGGTTCCTCTTTCCCCAACTTAATGCCTAGGGAGAAAGGTAGAAAGCAGAAGATATGATTCGGTTTAGCAGAATTTTGTCCTTTTCCGATTAGGCTTTATAATTTAGTGCATAATATGAGCCATGCTTAAGTATCTATACAGTTAAGAACCAATCTATTATTTTAAGTTACAAGTTTCTTTTTCTCTACTGGCTGTAGTTAGTCCTTAATGTTTTTGCACAAGAGATTGTTATTATTTCTTTGACTGATATTATCTGTCACTGTCAGTATTAAGCTTGATCCTGCTTGTAATGACATACATGTGATTAATGATTGGAAGAAATCTTGCTATTACTGGAGTGTTTCCGCATAATTTGATTATATCCATCTCTCACATTTTTCTCTTTTTTCGCTATGGTCAGCAGTTGGACCTAGCCAGGTTTTCGAATTCCCTTGAACGTCATTGTATTTGACAGGATAGGTTAATGTAGTCAGCAGGATTCGGGCTGTGAAATATCACTCTTCGAAGAATGAAATTTTGAGACTTATTTCACGAGAGTGTGGTTTGATAGTTCTTAGTAAGCCTTGGACATCGATTTTAAATGCATTTTTCCTTTCTCCTTCTGTCTCTTCGAACCAAAAAGTGATTGTGGAATAATTTTTTATTCCTTCTTCTGATTTTGAGCTCAAGCTGATGTAAACAGTTACTGGGTACTAACTTATATACGGTCTTTTGTTTCTGTTTATGAAGGGCATGAAAGGCTCTGGCGATGAAGATCATGCAGAGGATGAAATCCCAGGGCATCGGCTGTCCAGAAAAAGGAATGGAGAAGCCAACTCAGATGATGAACAGCAAGATTCTCAACGAGGACGTTCTAAATATGACCGCTGGACAAAGGATTTCAGTAACAGCAGCAAGTCGTCATCTTCCTTAAAGTTCAAGGACCTTGAGAAAGATAATAATGATAGGTCTTCTGAATCTGGGAAACCTGTTGACGACGAATCTACTAAGTTAGTTTATACCAATCACCAACCACATTTATCAGTTGAGGGGAAGGGTTTTGTAGATGTGGAGATGAAGGATGCTAAAGCTAAAGAATTAGAGGATCAGCACCCTGATACTGTTGATAAATTGAAGAAGCGTAGTGAGCGGTTCAGGGTTCCAAGGCCAAGCGAGAAAGAGGCAGCTGTCAAGAAGTTAGAGGATGAAAATCCAATGGATTTTTCAGAGGTCAAACAAGAGCGACCACCCCGGAAAAGGAGGTGGATAGGTAACTAGATGAGAAATCTGGGAGCTTATTATCTGACTACAAATCTCGTTTATTTTTTACCCCACGAAAATGTATGCCTGGCCTAATTTTTGTAAATTCTAGCAGGCTCCACTTCCACCCATTAAGACATTCAAAACTCCTTTACCATAATTCCTGATGGATAACCCCAATTTAGGTTTATTAGTGCATTGTGATTTTGAATAATTTGTTGAAAGTAACATTTTTAGTGTTTGACATTATATGTAGTTAGACCATTTTTGTAACCACGCACCCAATACATTATTATACACTGTATATATTGGTAAAATGTAGACCTTGAAATTTCACAATACATACACGTTTATCTGTGTCTAAATGTGATCCATATCGTAATTTGATATGGGTTATGAGAATTATGGGATTAGCATGACCGAGGCTTGTTGCAATATTGCTGGTGATGCACGAGCCTTATACTGGCAGTGTTCCTCTTGTGACCGAGATGTTCCAAGTGTCAGAAACCAGAGACATCCCTGGTGAAGGACGGTCTGAGGTGGATGCTGCTTACTTCCTAACCTCTCTTTGGTGATTGAATATGAGATGTCAGCAATGATTGTTCTTATTGTAAACTGTAAGTTAATATTGATTACTGTTTTTTCCAACAAGAGGATGATTATACAATAATTTTAGCTCTGTGCTTGGCTGTATCTAGATGTTAATGAAATGTAGTTCATGAATTTCTGTAGTAATAACAGAAGGCATCAGCAAAAAATAATCCATTTACAAATCTTTCAATCTGCAAGTTTATGCGAACAAGTGCCTTTTTACATACTTTGGTTAGGGAAAGGATGTGGCAGATTCTTGCAACTTATGCAAATATTTTGCACTTGCCTAGCTTGAAAGACTAAAAGGGTAAAGACATTTGGTTGGTTTATTTGTGCTTATTTTTCATAAAAATGTGTTTTTTTTAATAAAATAACATATATATTCATTTATTAATTTATATGAAAAGCACTCGTACTGTGTCCTTGAGTATGACATGGTGATGCCAACTAAATAGCATGGTGAGTAAGTGGATTGTTTGTTAATACCACATCTTGTGGCAATGGTGATGCTAACTAAATGTCATCCACAACAAAGTTTAATATTAGACTTAATTGTTTAATTGGTGTCCAAATTCATATGTTAGTATTAAGTTAGTATCTTTTTAAAAATGTCTTAATTGCGTCTTCACATGATATAATTACATCAATCAAATTATTTTAGAGAATTAATTTCGTGATGACTAACAAATAATTGTTTTTATGACGTGATGTATTTTGAAAAGCCATATTTTCATGTTACGAATAAATATTGCAAACAAATATAATTACATCAAGTATACCATTGACACAAACTTCTGATAGAAGTAGGCTTTTGCTTGTGGCTTCCGACTCCATCTTATTTTAATAAGTTTTACAATGAAAAAAATCCAAATATTATGAACATATTTGGAGAACTTTTTTGCCGAAAACGTTTAGAAAAAGAATTAAAAGGTGAAATTTATTTTTTAGTAAATTAAAAACATTAAGAATGAAAAAAAGTTACATTGAAAAAATTCAAATATTAAGGACATTTGGAGAACTTTTTTGGCAGAAACATTTAGAAGAAAAATTAAGGTTTAATACGTATTTTGGTCCCTCTTTTCGTAGGGTCTGTTCAAATTGGTCCTACTTTTTTTCAAAAGTTCACTAAGATCCCACTTTTCGCAAAAACGATGCACGTTATGCACGTTAGTCCTTTTTTAGGTTTAATACGTATTTTGGTCCCTCTTTTCGTAGGGTCTGTTCAAATTGGTCCTACTTTTTTTCAAAAGTTCACTAAGATCCCACTTTTTGCAAAAACGATGCACGTTAGTCCTTTTTGGTTACGGCGTTAAAAAGACTAACGGCACAGCTGCCCAGCTGGCACAAAACTGATGAGCTGTACATTTTTTGTTGAGGTGGCACTGTGAATTGGTGATTCAATCCAGTTACAAAATCGAACCTTCAAACCTGCTTTTTTTTTTAATTTCTAAAAAAGGGGAAGAAGCCTAACTGTGTATCCATTCTCCTCTTCCAATTTCTATCCAACCAAACAGGTCGTATGAGAAAGACATGCATCCTGATACTTGTTCCATATCTTTCAAAAACATTTTCCATGGAGTTTCAGCTTCACCCAAAGCTCAACTTTCTTTTATGCTTATTCATCCTTACCCTTTCATTTGCCAACGCTCAAGCTACTACCTTTGGATACTGCGGTACTTCCTCTCTCTCTTTTATTCTCTTTCAAATTGTACCCCTCAATTCTGATTTTTTTCGCCCTTCACATTGATCCCCCATATTAAAATTTTACACTTTATTTTTGGGGATTAAATTGTAGTCGGACCCAATTTGTTGATAACTTCTGTTTCTGTCTTCGATTCCATTGAAAATTTATGCAGCTGATGTGAACTATGTCGTGAAGGTGACTGGAGTTGAAATCACACCAGACCCTGTTGTTCGTGCTAGGCCTGTAACCAACAAACCCTAACTTTTAATTTGGGAAAAACAACCATGAATCCTCTGTTTTCAGGATGAATCACCAATTCACAGTGCCACCTCAACGAAAAATGTACAGCTCATCAGTTTTGTGCCAGCTGGGCAGCTGTGCCGTTAGTCTTTTTAACGCCGTAACCAAAAAGGACTAACGTGCATCGTTTTTGCGAAAAGTGGGATCTTAGTGAACTTTTGAAAAAAAGTAGGACCAATTTGAACAGACCCTACGAAAAGAGGGACCAAAATACGTATTAAACCAAAAATTAAAAAGTGAAATTTATTTTTCAGTAAATTAAGACTAAAAATAAAAATTTAGAAATTTTAGAAAAAGTAATTATATCAGAGAAAAGAGACTCAAACCAACTTTGCACAGAGGAAAAGAAAACGGTTACTATTATTATTATTATTATATTATAATAATAATAATAATTATTATTATTATATTATAATGATAATAATTATTATTATATTATTATCATTATTATTATACTATTATTATCATTATTATTATTATTATTATTATTATTTAAGATTTGAATTAATCATTTACGTAAAGCAAAATACGGAACAAAATAAGAACATTAGAAAAAGTATAAATATATATTCATAATAAATCTTGTTGCAATATCAATAATTGTGTTTTACTGAAACAAATATCAATTGTTTTTTGTAGGATTTTGGGTTTATAATCAAATGAAGCTAGTTCATGATTAATGGAATAGATTTTTTTACAGAGAAATAAAGAAGTCATAGAGAAGAAATGAACTTGATTAATGTCTGACAAGCAAAAGAGAATAGAAAAGAGAAAAAAAAATGCCAGAAATTTTTGTCACATCACCGTCGAGTTAATTCTTTTTTTATATATATTTAATGGAGGAAACTTGATCGATGTAATTATACGAGAACGGGTTTTTAGAAAGAGTACCAACTTTAACACAACGACTGAATTCGAAACCAATTAAACAATTAACTCCATATAATAATATTTCACTTATATTTATGTATAAAGGAAATTTTCCTTTTTGTATTTATATTTATTTTCCAATTTTATTTTATGAAATAAAAGTTTTTTAAAATTAAAATAGTTATTTTATTCACTCTACTCTTTAAATGAATCCTTTTAAAATTCAACCATTTTTTCAATTTAATATTTTTTTTAAGTTTAACTTCTTTTTTTAATTTAATTATTTTTTAAATTTATCCATTAATCATAAAACTACTTATAGAATAAATAAAAAAATTCAATAAAATTCTAAATACTATTTAATTTAATTTTATAATTTAAATAATCACAATAATAATTATATTATTTATATTATTATAAAGAAAACTTGTATAACATGTGTTTTTACTAATAAATAGTAATAATAACTTGTTTCATCTTCAATATTTTAATTAGTACAAATTAAATATAAGAACTTTTTATTTTATATTAAAAAGTAAAAAATAATAAAATCGTGTACTGTAAGAGGACGAATAAAATAAAATAATAAAGCATGTGAAAAGAGTAAAAGGGAAAATTTATAAACATTTGAAGAAAAAATATATCAAATAAAAATGCTCAAAGTTAGCGTTTTAGTAAACGTCACCTTTCGTAATATTTAAAAAGCAAACACTATAAACTATTGAAAAGATTTGGTTTACCGAAACCCTAATAATAGATTCACGCGAAATTTTCAGCTAGTAAAAACAATTCAAACTAACTAAAATGGCAACTCTAATACGTTGCGTTTAAGACTTATTACACTTAGTTGTATTTTTTCCTGCTATTTTAGTTATTAATGTTTTAATTATTGGTAGTTTTAATCCTTATTTGATTCCTTAATTCTTAATTATATGTAACCTTGTTTAATTTATAATTTTAAAAATATACTGACTCGGTCTAATTATATTTGGTAATATGTGACATTCCATAATTTTACTTCATATTTATTCTTTCTGTAAATATGAGTTGGGTGACAATTCTAAACGTAGTTGATAGTTTTTAACTATTTTTGAAATTTTGGAATGATTCTATCTACGTTATCCATTATAATATTGTTGCATTATGATTTTTTTTTTAAGATAATGATACTTTGTCAATATCTTTTTAATAATA